GGAGCTTGCCGTTGGAGTGGAGAGATGAGAGACTATGAAATGGAGAAAAACAGAAAGGGAGGTGGAAGAAAAGAAAAGGATGAATAAATAAGAATCAGAAAGGTTAAAGAACCGCAAAGTTCCCAGGGATCCCACCGGTGCAGCTATGTGTAGCTTTAATTTTTTAACAACCACATTAAAAAAGAAAAATAACATTTAAAATTAATTTTAACATTTTAATTAACCCAATATATTTAAAATATTATCATTTCAACATGTAATCAATAGTGTGTATTTTACATTTACAGCATATCTCAATTTGGACAAACCACATTTCAAGTGCTCATCAGCCACACGCGGCTGTTGTTGTTAGGAGCCCTGAAGTCAATTTTCGACTCGTAGTGACCCCATGTGACAGAGTAGAACTGATCCAAAGGGAACCCTCGTAGCACAGTAGTTAAGCACTCAACTGGTACCCAAAAGGCTGACAGTTCGAACCCACCAGCCACTTCGCAGGGAAAAGATGCAGCAGTCTGCTTCTGTAAACATTACAGCCTTGGAAATCCTATGGTGCAGTTCTATAGGGTCACTGTCATTTGGAATCAACTCGACAGCAATGGGTATTGGGTCTTGATCCGGTGGAGCTGCTGGGTGGGTTTGAACTGCCAACTTTTCGGTTAGCAGTGGAGTGCTTAACTGATGCACCACAGGGCTCTCCTCACATGTGGCTAGTGGCCACCAAACTGGACAGCATGGTTCTACAGGATCTGACTAGTCCAATGTGCTACATCTTTTTTGAGGTAATTCATCACATCACTGATATTCAAAGTGAAGTACACACATTATCAGGTAAACCTTGGTTGAACTACAGACCAAGAAAAATTGGGGTAATGCGATAATTCATGGTTATGAAAGAAATGAGGAAAAACATACTGGAGGTTCTTACCAATGTCTGCAGTAACACTATAAATTCTGAAAGTTCCTGCTAGACCTATGAGTCTGTTAAAGTAAGTCCTAAACAGATTTGTAATTTACATAGATGACAAACCATACAAAACTGAATCTAAATTTAGTTACCCATAATTTGAACATATTGCCAAGTATGAGTTTATTTTTTAATTGTATTTTTTTTATTGTTGTGGTTTAAGTGGAAGTTTACAATTCAAGTTATTCTCTCATACAAAAATTTATACATACATTGTTATGTGACCCTAATTACTCCTTATACTGTGGCAGCACACTCCTCCTTTCCATCCCTGATTTCCCATCTCCACTCAACCAGTTCCTGACCCTCTCTGCCTTCTCATCTCACCTTCGGACAGAAGCTGCCCATTTTGCTTCATGTATCTACTTGAGCTAAGAAGCACACTCTTCATAAGTATCATTTTATGTCCCACAGTCCAGTCCAATCTTTGTCTGAAGAGTTGGCCTCAGGAATTGTTTTAGTTCTGGGTTCACAGAGAGTCTGGGGGCCATGCTTTCTGGGGTTCCTTCAGTCTCAGTCAGACCATTAAGTCTGGTCTTTTTACTAGAATTTGAGTTCCCTTCCCCCATTCCATCAGGGACTCTCTGTTGTGTTCCCTGTCAGGGCGGTCATTGGTGGTGGCCAGGCACCATTCAGTTCTTCTGGTCTCAGGCTGATAAAGTCTCTAGTTTATGTGGCCCTTTCTGTCTCTTGGGCTATACTTTCCTTATGTCTTTGGTATTCTTCATTCTCCTTTACTCCAGGTGGTTGGGACCAACTAATGCATCTTACATGGCTGCTTGCTAGCTTTTAAGACCCCAGACGCCACTCACCAAAGTAGGATGCAGAACATTTTCTTAAACGTTATAACATTTTTTATGCCAACTGACCGATGTCCCCTGAAAGCATGGTTCCCAGACCCCTGCCCCTGTTACTCTGTACTTCAAAGTGTTTGACTGTATTCAGGAAACTTCTTAGCTTTGGTTTAGTCCCATTGTGACGACTTCCCCTGTAGTGTTTGCTGTCCTTCCCTTCACCTAAGGTAATTCTTGTCTACTATCTAGTATTTTTTCATTGTACTTTAGATGGACATTTACAGAACAAATAGTTTCTTATTAAACAGTTAGTACACATATTGTTTTATAACAATGGTTAACAACCCCATGACATGTCAACACTGTCCCTTCTCAACCTTGGGTTCCCTATTACCAGCTTTCCTGTCCCCTCCTGCCTTCTAGTTTTTGTCCCTGGATTGTTGTGCCCATTAGTCTTGTTTTGTTTTATGGGGCTATCTAATCTTTGGCTGAACAGTGAACCTCGGGAGTGACTTCATTACTGAGCTAAAAGGGTGTCCAGGGGCCATACTCTCGGGGTTTCTCCAGTCTCTGTCGGGCCAGTAAGTCTGGTCTTTTTTTGTGAGTTAGAATTTTGTTCTATATTTTTCTCCAGCTCTGTCCAGGACCCTCTGTTGTGATCCCTGTCAGAGCAGTCAGTGGTGGTCCATTAGTCCTCTGCACTAGTCTTTCCCTTGTATCTTGTTTTCTTCATTTTCCCTTGCTCCAGAAGGGTTGAGACCTGTGGAGTATCTTAGATAGCTGCTCACAGGCTTTTAAGACCCCAGACGCTACTCACCAAGGTAGAACGTAGAACATTTTCTTTATAAACTGTGTAATGCCAATTGAGCTAGACGTTCCCTGAGACCATGCTCCCCACAGACCTCTTCCCAGCATTTTGGTCCCTCAGGGAGTTTAGATGTGTCTATGGAGCTTCCATGACCTTTCCTTGTACAAGTTGTGCTGGCTTCCCCAGTATTGTATATTGTCTTACCCTTCACCAAAGTTACCACTTACCTGTTGTCTATTTAGTACCCACCCCCCGATCCCTCGTAACCAATAAAGATTGTTTCTTTTCGTGTGTAAACTTCTCATGAGTTTTTACAGTAGTGGTCTCATACAATATTTGTCCTTTTGTGATTGACTTAATTCACTCAGCATAATGTCATCCGGTTTCATCCATGTTATGAGATGCTTCACAGATTCATCACTGTTCTTTATTGTTGCATAATACTCCATATTGTGTGTAGGTACCATAGTTTGTTTATCCATTCAATTGTTGATGGGCATCTAGGTAGTTTCCATCTTTTTGCCATTATGAACAATGCTGCAATGAACATAGGTGTGTATATGTCAATTCGTGTGACGGCTCTTATTTCTCTAGGATATATTCCTAAGAGTGGGATTGTTGGATCGTATGGTCTATTTCTAGCTTTCTAAGGAAGCTCCGTATCATTTTCCAAAATGGTTGTATCATTTTGCATTCCCACTAGCAGTGAATAAGAGTTACAATCGCCCTGCAGCCTCTCACCAACATTTGTTATTTCCAGTTTTTTTGATTCGTGCCAGTAATGCTGGAGTGAGATGGTATCTCATTGTGGTTTTAATATGCATTTCTCTAATGGCTAGTGATCAGGAGGATTTCCTCATGTGTCTGTTGGCCACTTGAATGTCTTCTTTGGTGAAGTGTCTGTTCATTTCCTTTGCCCATTTTTAAATTGGATTATTTGTCTTTTTGTTGTAGAGGTGCTGGATTTCTTTGTAGATTTTAGAGATTAGACCTTTGTCTGACTTTGAAGTCTTTTGATGAGCATGAGTGTTTAATTTTTAGAAAATCACAGTTATCTAGCTTATCTTTTGGAATTTGTGTGTTGTTGGTTATGGTTTCTAACCTGTTAATGCCACGTATTAGGGCCTCTAGCATTGATCCTATTTTTTTTCTATGAACTTTATAGTTTTTGGCTTTATATTTAGGTCTTTGATCCATTTTCAATTAGTTTTTGTATATAGTCTGAGGTATGGGTCCTGTTTCATTTTTTTGCAGATGGACATCCAATTCTTTTGTTACGAAGACTGTCTGTTCCCCATTTGATGGACTTTGGGCCCTTGTCTATTTTTTTTTATTTTAGCAGTTCCTCTGACAAAATGTTTAAATGACCTGATTACTAACTTAAAAAGTTAGGAATCAGAATTTTTGGCTTCTTTCATATATTGATAAAATACCATTAAAATATGCAAAATAATATATATAGATAATATATACATATAAATAAATATATATATATATATATATACACACACTACTATATACTTCTATATACCTCTATTTGGTGGAGCCAGTTTTAAATGGCAAAATGCTGCAACAGGTTGACCTTAACTTAGAAAGAGAAACTATTCACAAATACATAACTGGTTAAATTTGAACTACTGTATGTACCACAAAAGAATTTTCACTACACATATTAGTAAACTGTCATTGATTACCTACATAAAATGACAATCTCCCACTCTTAAAATTTTCTAAAGGGAAATTTCTGAATATTACAAATACAGTAAAACCTGCAAAACCCGGAACCTGTGTAAGGTGGAAACCTGTCAGAGAAGGAAAACTCAAATATTTTCCACTAATAGACAGCAATAGAAAAGTGGTAATACTACACCCTGTCAAAGGTGGAAAATTTGCGAGACCGGGAAAAACAAGGCAGTCCTGTAGAGTTCCAGCTCTCACAGGTTTCATCGTACTCTATTCTCAGTAAAATAAGATGTTAATGTTTATTGCTCAAATTTTTAAAAACATTTGTATTTATTCATTTATGCATTTATTCTCAACAGAGTAAGCTTTTCTGTGAATTAGCAGTATGTATCTCATACATGTATGTCTCCATACTACACAAAACAATGCTAAAAATACAGTGATTCAGACTTACCCACAAATCATGCTCTGCATAATCAAACAGCAGCCACACCTTGCGGTCACTGTGAGAAAGGAACACCTTCTGCAAAGCGATCACATTTGGGTGCTTCAATTCTCGCAAAAGCTAAATGCAAGAGGAAAAGAGGGGTCACTATTCTGTTAGCAAGGAGGGGGAGATGACAAACTTCTTATAATTTCAAATAAAATTTCTGCAAAATTAGAAAATCCAGATAAGGAAAATAAAAGAAAAAAAAATATCATCCAAAATCCCACTTCTAAGAGATGCTGCTGTGTTTCATCGAGTCGATTCCAACTCACAGCTACCCTATATGATAGAGTAGAACTGCGCCATAGGATTTCCTAGGCTGTTACCTTTACAGAAGCAGATTAGCCAGGTCTTTTCTTCCAAGGGGCTGCTAGGTGGGTCTGAACCTTGTCAACCTTTCCGTTTAGCAGCCAGGCGCTTAACCATTGGGCCACCAGGGCTCCACTAAAAGATACATTCTGTCAACATTTTGGTGTGCATCCCTCCAATCCTTTCTCTATATGTATGTGTGTTTTTAAGATGGGATTATACTCTAAGATATAGGTCCTCAGACTACTCCAAATATTACAATGACCTGGAGATCTTTTTAAAATTCCAAAGCTCGGGCCACATCCTAAACCAACAATTAAATTACAATCTGTAGGGGTAGGGCACACACATCAGTATTGTTTTGAAGCTCTCTGGGGGATTCTGATGAACAGACAAATTTAGGAACCACTGCTCTGTGCACATATTGCATTGTATCCTTTTTCTACTTAATAAACCTCAAACATTTTTCAAGTCATTAAAAATATATTTCTAAAACAAGGATTTTAATGATTATATGGATTACAAAGTAGCCCATGGATTCTCGTTATCAGACACAGATTTTATTTTCAGTTTTTTCCATCAAGGAACAATAACGCAGTGTAATGGTTTAAGGTGTGAACTCTGGAATGAGACTTGGATTAGGTTTCAAATTCTGGCTCTAATGTTTTTAACTGTGTGACCCTGACGAAGTCACTGACCTCACTTTGCCTGTTCCCTCATTTATGAAATGTGAATTTAAAAAGACTCACTACTTCACAGGGGCTGCCCAGTGGTAAGCACTCAGTTAACATCACCCCCATTATTATCAACATCAAGAGCACAAGGGACATTTTTATAGCTAAATCTTTGTACACATCATTCGTTAGGATAAAATCTTGGAATTATTGGGTCAAAAGGCCCGTATTTTTAAGACTTTTGAAACATAGTATATATTATCCAACCTCTTCCCCTCCCCCCGAAACTTTAAATAGACTCTTACGAAGTCCCAACCCATTGCCATTGAGTCAATTCCAACTCATAGCAACCCTACAGGGTAAGGTAGAACTGCCGCATAGGGTTTCCAAGACTGCAATTTTTACGGAAGCAGACTGCCACATCTTTCTCCCACAGAGCAGCTGGTGGGTTCGAACTGCTGACCTTTCTTTTGGTTAGCAGCCAAGCGCTTAACCACTGAGCAATCAGGGCTCCTTGGTTACAGAAGTCCATCATCCCCAAAACACTCAGAAACACTGAGGCAGAGTTAGAATGGAAGAATTTGTTCTCACTCAGTATCTTCAAGTCATAAAAACAAAAATTTAGTTTCTTTCCTGAAAAATTACCTGAATCATCTACCATATAAATCTCAAAAGCATTGTTTTCAAATGGCAATAACAGTCTTTCTTCTCTTTCTCTGCTGCTGGAAACTTCTGAGGGCAGTTTTTTAAATCTAGGTCCCAAACATTATTTTATTTATGAAAGTATTTTTTTTTTTCCTTTAAACTAGATGTTTACTCTTGAGTAAGTCACTTAACCACTCTGAGATTCAATTTTCTCATCTTTACAATGGCAAATTACCTAATCCATCCTACATCACTGCTGTTATTTGTAAGGTTTTCACTGGCCAATTTTTTCAGAAATAGACCGCCAGGTCCTTCTTCCTAGTCTGTCTTAATCTGGAAGATCTACTGAAACCTGTTTACCATGGGCGACCCTGCTGATATTTAAAATACTGGTGGTATAGTTTCCAGCATCACAGCAACACGAAAGCCACCACAGTACCACAAACTGATAGATGCATGGGGACATGGTAGAGGTGTATAAGGGCTTCTAAAAAATTGAGATTGAGGTTCCCGGTATATCTGAAAGGGCTGGTTCAGGCTTGGGCCCTACTCCATTTTGTTACTTTTCCTTTTACCCTTGCAACCATCAAACCCATAGATGGACAAAGGATTTCCCCTGCAACTGTCAAACCCTTAAACAGACTTAAGTACCTAACAAAGAAAACCTTTCTTTTTCCTGTGGTAAACTAAAGACATGGAAAGAACGTCCCTAAGGGAGCGTCTTGACACAAAACCCTTATCAGAAATCCCCTCAGCTGCCCTCAGGAAATGTTTTAAGAAAATTACCTTATGACCACCCTACTCTGTAACATGGGGTTGCCCTGAGTCACAATCGACTTGATGGCAACTCCTAGTGGTGGTGGTGATGATGGCAGTAGTGAGAATAATGGAATGATTCTCATACCCACTTATAAAAATTGGTGTGGAGAAGAGGTTCTGGAAATAGAGAAAAGGAATAGGCCTTCACAAAGTATAATGTTCAAGCTGAACTCTGATAATGAGGAGACCAGATCAGCAAGTGAAAACTTAGCACTTGGCATATACCGGACAGTTGCTTGATAAAATATTCAGCAACAATGACATTAGCTGCTCAAGGTGAAAGCCTTGTAAGTATGCCTGCCTTCAGCTGTCCTTAACCAGGGTTCAGATTTAATAGGTAGAGAGAAACATAATTAATTTGACAAATATTTTGAGTGTCTTTTAAATGTAAAGCTGTATGGATGTAACAAAAAGGCAGAGGGAAAGAAACTTCTATTGAATACTTTCTAAGTGCAAGATGATTATGTATAAATTTTCTCATTTAATCCTTATAACAGCCCTATGATGGACACAGAACCTGGGTTCAAAGTGACAAAACAACTGATTTAGGAGATAATACTGGAGCCATTATTCCCTGTTCTTGAGCATAGAGAATGTAACCCAGGTGGAGCTGGACTCACAAGGACACATCAACTGGGCCCTGACATATAAAGACAATAGCTAGGACAACCTTGGAAAACATCTTTTAGGGAAACTTTCTCGTAAACAAATCATAAACAGAGCACAAAAGACTTTCCACTTTTATCTTTTTCTATTAGCATTTAGTGAATAGAAGATCTGTTGGACCAATGAAGACCATCCTTACTGAAACCTGTACCAGTGATAATTAAGACAGACAATTCAAAATGTAGAATCAGATTTAGCAGTTTCTAGCTAATCTGTGAAAAGGTGAAGCTTTCAGTGGTTTTGCCCATTTGTAATGTTAATATATGCTGGTCATTCTGGCTCTGGCAGCATGCTTGCCATTTTCCCACTTTTGCCTCTTCCAATATATGCCAAATAAAACCTTTCTTTTTTGCTTTACTAAATTTTGTGACGTTTTTACCCTAGGACATAACTTGACCAAAGTCAAACAGATAGAAAGAGAAGGGGTTAGGATTTGAATAGATCTGCCTGATTCCAAAGTCCATGCTTTTCCCATTACAGCTGATGTCTCTGTCTTCATTCCTACAATGAAGTGAGAACATATAAATAGCTCAATGAAGAAGAGAGAAATAAATTGCTTGCACACTCTAATACCTTTAAATGAGTAAAGCTTACCTTGAGTGCCTGTGCTAGGATTATGTAAAAAGCTACTACTGGCATCTGAACTCCACCTGTGGAATTTTTACAGATTATTTCCCAGTTGCCTACTTTTCTGCTACCTTCCTAGTTCCTCAATTTCATCATTTTAGCTTTGCACCTCAGCTCTTGCTACTCACCAAACACCTTGAAAGCCTTGCTGGAAAGCTCTCTACCATCTATAATTTAGACATCATTTCAAGATATGACTCCCGATGTTCTCCCTCAAACCCGTATGCCCTGGAACATAGTAAGAGGCAAGAGCTAGGATAGACTGGGATGCCCTGAGGCCACCTTCCACTTTTCACAGCCTGCCTCAGGGGTCTATCTATATGAACTGTTGGATCTAGGTGGGAAACACTCCCTTCTGGGGGAGACCAGTGATTAGGAGGGTTCTCAGCTATCAGTTCTTTGTTGTCACTGCCTAAGAAATGCTTTAGTGATTCCTTTAACAGTACTGCTTCTTGCTTCAAATGCAAGCATTAGACAAAATAAGCTTCTAATTAATGATGGAATCAGAGAAAGTTTCATTTTGGAGCGATGCAGAGCTATATCCAATTTGTTGCTTTTAAATGCTTTAGGCTTCCTGACTGTGTTGAGAAACATGTTTAATAATTTGCTATGGCTGCCGTGGCCACCTTTGAGCGATTGGACCTTGGTAAGAAGGCTCAAAGGAGCCCTGGTGATGCAGTGGTTAAGCGCTCAGCTGTCAACCAAACCCATCAGCCACTCCACGGAAGAAAGATGTGGCAGTCCGCTTCCGTAGAGATCACAACCTTGGAAACCTTATGGAGCAGTTCTACTCTGTCCTATAGGCTCTATGGGTCGGAACTGACTCGACGGCAGTGGGTTTGGTTTGGTGTTAAGGGATCTCGCTGATTTGTCTCCCTCTTTCTGGCTCCATGATGCTGATGAACTTAAAGAGAATCTACTCAGCTTTTTTATTAAGTTTTTACCCAAAATACGGAGTGGTGCAAATGTTTTAAGTACTGGACTATTAACCTAAAGGTTTGCGGTTCAGATTCACCCAGAGGCACCTCAGAAGTAAGGCCTGGTGATCTGCTTCTGAAAGGTCACAGCCTTGAAAACCCTGTGGAACAGTTCTACTCTGCACACATGGGGCTGCTATGAGTTGGAACTGACTGAAGGCAACTAATGACAACAACCCAAAATATGTTCTCCTTGCTTCCTGCAGTGAATGTGAAGGTGAACTCCACTTTTCCATCTAAGCCAGGCTCATGAAACAGCAACACTGGCAGACTCTTGACCCCTTGACCTCACTTGTCTAGGAGAGAGGATGTCACATGTGGCGGTATTTAATCAGCATCTCTAGAGCTTATGTTCTCTGTG